CTGGACCGTTGATCAGATCAACGGTCCAGGCGGGTAGGTACCAGCAGGTAGGAGGCCGGCCCAGCACTACAAAAGGCTGGGTACCAGCCTCAGTAGGGAGGTTAGTGAGATAGGACGTTAGTCTTTAGGATTAACCCAACACTGCAGCGTTAGCAGGATTAGCGCAGCGCGAGCAGCATTATCCTGAGCAGCGAGGAGAAGGCGAGCGCAGCGGCGAGAAGGAAGCAGCGCAGCGGCCGTGCCGCGCCATAGCTACCGGATCAGGTACCAGGGAGGAAGGCCTTGCCTTCTCTCCCTCTGTTCCTCCGCCCCTTCTCTCCCTCTCTGTCTCTCTCCCTCTCTCTCTCCTCCTACCTTCTCAGTCTAAGTCTACTCCTGGGTTCGCCTAACGGACTACTACAAGTATGAAGGATGGTTACGAATTTGGTTACGAATTCTGATGACATTGGAGACAGCGACATTGGGACTACAGGTTGAGGACTACTAGTGGGATCTGATTTCATCTTCCTCTGGAGATGCACTTGACATTGTGAGATCGATATCTGAGACATGTGAGACACTGTGTTCGCGACATTTCGGATTTTCGCTACCTCTGACATTTCAAGATACTATCTTTGGAAACATTGAGTTGACGTCAGCTTCCCTCTCCTCCTCCCTTCGTCTCTCTCCTCTCTCCCTTTGTCCGTGGATGATCTCAGACCCTGGCCTTTAGTCTATGTCCGAGGCCAGGGCTTTCAGACCCCGGATGTATGATTGAGAGTGTTCGTTTGCAGTCCGAGTCAGGTCAGAGTTAGTCCATGTATCTCAAGTCTTCCGCTGTATTTGTATTTACTCTGTATTATCTGGTCGGTTCTGGGAATCTGCGCCATACTTACGACTGTGTTTCACGAGTATGCAACAGCTTGGTTTCGGAGCAGACCAGCATTGGATGACTCACCAGTGATTGATTGATAGATAGATAGATTGATTGATTATCTACACCTGTACTCTGTTATCATTAAATCGCAAGTTGCAAATTCTTTTTGTTTTCTCGTACTGACATAGTAATTAGGTCGTTTGAATTATAATTTTAGTTTTTCGACTGTTCTCCATATTGCGCAAATTAGGGAATCGCTAATTACGATTAACCTAATTAGCCCTAATTAGGGTTAGTCCTAACCTAACCTAATGACCTATCAAGACTATGGGAAGTAAGTGCTAGCCGGGCACCGAGCGAATTAAGGCAGATCGGGCCTGAACACGGCCGCATTCAACTGCAACTTCACAGAACTTTCACTTTTCGCAAACACATCTTCATTGCGATTAAAGTTTGAATCTTTTCAAGCAAAAAGTGTGTATATCTTCCTGCAACCATTGATCTTCTACTTACTACATGACCTTGTAATGATGCTAAACTCTCCCGATTAAATGACATGAAATTATTAAAATGATGTTTAAATGTTTAAACTTGCTTAAACGTTATTCATTTTCACTTGTGCAACTTTTAAATATTCTTTCATTAAATATTTAACTTTCGCAAAATTAATTATTGCAAATTTAAATATTCTTTAATTAAATATTTAATCTTTTGCCAAAATAAAATTTTATGTAATTAAATCCTAGGCTACCAGAGTGGCCCGGGGTCTCTTGCTCGGCCGGGCCAAAAAAATGAAAATAATAAAAATAAAGAAATTATTTTTACAATTTAATTTTTATTTTAAATTTGGTGAAGAATTTCGATGTGACCCTGAGGCAAAAGTTGTTCGGTTTATTTTTCTGCATAACATAGTTTGTTTTTGGATTTTTTCGATGTCTTTGTTTTGTTTTGTTTTGTTTTTTGCTGGGACCTTCCTTCGTCCTTGCACGGGCTGGCCATCCGGGACCCGGGCGGCCCGGCTGGTAGCCTAGATTAAATCCATATTTTTCCGATTAAATTTATTTAAATAATTAATATTTAATTTCTCGAAATTTGCAATTTCGTGGGGGCGGAATTTTTTTTTTTTACTAGTGTCAAGCTTCGAGGTCAGGGAGGAAAATGGACTCTGTGCACAGTTTGCCTCTCTGCCTTTTCTTCCACCCCTACCTTCTCTCTCTCTCTCCTCCTCTCGGTACTGTGGACTTCAGTCCCCTGCCATATCAGCAGCGGGCCACGAAGGCAGATTGCCACATCAGCCACGTGCCACCTCAGCATGCCACGACAGCCGAGTGCCAACTCAACAGCGGCCACCTTAACAGTGCTACATCAGCAGGTGCCACCTCAGCGGTGACATATCAGCAGAAGACGAAGACCAGAGGTCTTAATGCATCGTAGTCAACGGCTTGCGGAGCGCGGATCCATAGGAACCAAGCGCCAACTGGGACCTAGGACCCCTCAGATCCTGCGCAGGCGACGCACAACCATGGCCGCCACCGCTGATGCCAATGCACAAGCCAGCCCCAAGAGGACGGTTACCCCTCCTATCCCAGTTCAGCAGGCCGATGAAACGCTGCTAGCGTTTCTTAAACATCTCCAGCTCTACTCAGAGACCACGGCAGCTGAACTAAGCAAGTGGGAAGAGGAGGAAGCCACCCGCCAGCAGGAAATTCAACGCCAGCTGGAAGAGGCAGAGGCAGCACATCAGTAGGCCGCAGCAGAAGCTGCAGCAGCCGCACGGTTGCAACAACAGCAGGCCGAGGCCAGTCAGAACCAAGTTCGTTATCAAGCTACAATGGAGCTCGCCAACGAGGAAACCACGTACCGGAGGATACTTCGACGACAACACTTTCGAGCAAACGAAGAACAAGAGGAGCCAACCGAGGAAGAGAGAAGCAAGGAGGCCACAACAATTTTGGCAGCAACATGAACTGCTGGCCATGCGGCAGGTCTTCATCCTCCACAAAACAACGTTTAAAGCACTGGACAAGAAGATCTCTACCCTGCAGGCCGAGATCAGCACACTACAGACCGCCAACAGCCAGCAGCAGACAATCAACGACCAGCTGCAGACCAAATGTCAGCATGGGGTTGGCACGATTGTCGGCAGCTGCGTCGACGGGCAGCGCAGTGGCAGACTGCAGCCCAGCCTTGGCCACGCAGGCCAAGCAACTCGAGGAGCGGATCAACCACGTGGTCGCATTCCTCAGTTAGAGGGGCGCAGGCCTTCATGACGCACATGGCGGTCACATTGGAATGCACCATCGCCACCGTCCACACCAAGATTATGTGGGAGGAATTCGAGAAGAAATGGAAGACCCGGTTCATGGTCAACAACGACAAGCGTCACGCCTTGAACAAGATCTTCCGCATGTTTCAAGGCCAACAACCTTCACTCAGTCATGCGACGCCTTGACAGCTGCTCTCGGCAACGAATTCCAGTATGAGACCTTTGATGACATGATCTCAAAGGCAAGGGAGCTCATACAAGGTAACCGGCGCGCGACCAACGAGGCCCGCCAAAAGCCCGGTTACGTGGAGAAAGGCAAAGGTCAGTGGATGCTGCAAGTAGCAGCAGTCCAACAAGGACCTAGTGAGGACCACGGAGCTGCGTCTACATCAAGTGATAGAGATGTGGCGGCAGCGATACCACCGCAGCGCTCAAGACCCCGAGGGGGAAATAAAAGGTGAAACCAGCGTCGGCGGATGGAGCATGACAATCACCATGGACAAGGTTCGGCATTACCGAAGACATGTTCAAGTTGCGACAGAAATGGGGATGCTGTTTTTGGTGCAACAGCACCAAACACATCACCAGCGCATGCCTTGACAAGGACAAGGAAAATGTCAAGCGTCCAAGCTCGGGAAACTGAGCACCGCAGGAAATGCAGCGACATCACTTCCCAATCCGTCGGAGTCGACTGCCTTGCTAGCAGTCTCTCTCACATCCAGGGGTGACGTGGTAGTCGCAAGTTCTAGTATCGATTTTGAGAACTATGTTGTCGAGCTGGTCCCACCGTTGAACCAGCCTCTCCACGTGCAAGATTCAAGCGCATTCGCGGTAGTTCCGCCGTCGGCCAACGAACTGGTTGCTTCGCCAACCCTTCTATCGGAGGATCCGTCAACTTGGGCGAGTCTTGAGGAACTCGACCTGTTGACAGTTGAGGACTTCCAATGGTTGCCTCTTCCCTCCACCGGTTCTTTGCCAACACCGCATTGCAACTCCTTGATGGCACATTTGTGCGAATACTTGCACGCTGCAGTACCACCTCCGTTGACGGACGACAGAGTAGCGGTTGTTGACCTCCGTAATTATCTTGCGAAGATCAACCGCGAGCACGCAACGCAACGGTACGTCGACATTGATGTGCCGCTCTACATCCGCATTCAGATCGGAAAGGCGCCCTGCAGTACCTTGATCGATTGTGGAGCGTCTCACAACCACATCAACCAAGACTTCATGGCACTCGTCGGGCTTGGCCCGCGCGTTCGAAGGAAAAGTCAGCCTACGCACGTCACGTTGGCTGATGGTCGCACACGAAAGTCAATCGACCGATGCGTTGACTCGGTGCCCGTGACATTGGATACCAAGTTTGATATGTCGTGGCTGCAAAGCGAAGACCGTCCAGTGAACTTCCATCGACGCACCATTCACGTTCGTGATCAGCGTGGCGAATTAGTCCCGTGTATGGTGCCGCTTCCTCATCCTTCAATTGGTTGTCACGTGGTCTCCGAGGCGAGCATTTGCCAATCAATCCGGAGAAACCACATCAAGGAAATTGGCATATGTTCTCTTCACGCCCTCCCACCCGGTGATCAGCCCAAGACGGATACGTCGGACCCACGCATCATTGAGCTGTTGGACAACTATGAGGATGTCGAGCGAAGAGGAGCTTCAAGTGCTTCGGGCACACTAGACGACCTCTTGGCCAAGGGCTGGATTCGGCCTAGCTGCTCGCCATACGGTGCCCCCGTTCTCTTCGTCTGGAAGAAGAACAAGGACCTTCATTTGTGCATCGACTATCGGAAACTTAATGAGCAAACAATCAAGAACGTCGGCCCTCTCCCTCGAATCGATGATCTTCTCGAGTGAGTATGCGGCGCCAAGTACTTCTCGAAGCTCGACCTCAAGTCCGGATATCACCAGATCGAGATCCAGCCAAGAGATCGGTACAGGACCGCATTCAAGACGCGTTATGGGCACTTTGAGTGGATCGTCATGCCTTTCGGTCTCACCAATGCCCGGACTACTTTCCAAGCGGCTATGACGACGGAATTCCACGACCTGCTCGACCGCACTGTACTCGTTTACCTTGATGATATCTTGGTTTATAGCCGGTTGCTGGACGAGCACCTTCGTGCCGTTTTGGAGCGTCTCCGTATCACCAAGTACAAGGCGAACCACGGCAAGTGCAAGTTTGCCCAGCAAGAATTGGAGTACTTAGGCCATTACGTTATGCCGCAAGGCATTCGTCCGCTCACGGACAAAGTACCAGCCATTCAAGATTGGTCGGACCTCAAGTGTACTACCGACGTCCGCTCCTTTTTCGGCTTAGCATCATATTACATGCGCTTCGTCAAAGGTTTTCAACGGATCACTGCACCATTGTCGCGACTTCAGTCCCCCTTGGTGCCCTTCGAGTTCAACGACGAAGCCCGACATGTGTTCCACACGCTGAAGACGACTTTGCTTCAAGCTCCCGCTTTAAACATCTATGACCCGACCTTGCCTACGAAAGTGACTACGGATACTTCCGGTTACGACATTGGAGCGGTTTTGGAACAGCATGACGGCACAGACCGACATCCGGTTGAGTACTTCAGCCAAAAGGTGTCGCCCATCAATTAACTTGATGATGCGAGGAAAAAGGAACTGCTAGCTTTTGTCACCGTACTTAAGCGTTGGCGTTACTTTTTCCTCTGGCATCGACGATTCATGTGGGCAACGGACAACAATCCGTTGACATATTACAATACGCAAGACACGGTGAGCAACACGATCGGTCGCTGGATGTACTTCATCGACCAGTTCGACTTCACCTCCAAGCATATTTCGAGCTCCTCGAACAAGGCAGCGGATGCTCTCTCGAGAAGAGCTGATCTTTGCGCCTTGGTGCATTCCACATTCGGCCTCGACAAGAACCTGCAACAACATTTCGTAAATGGCTACAAGTCGGATTCGGGATTCTCCACACTCTACACGGACTTATCATCGGATCAACCGCCGACAAGCAATTATCGCATTGTCGACGGCTACTTGCTTCTCCATAAACGAGGCAAGGACTTGTTGTGTGTTCCCCAAGACCGCATCTTGCGCACTGGCCTCCTTGGTGAATACCACGATTCGCGGCTGGCGGGACGCCTTGGCGTCGCACGCACACTTGCACGACTCCGCCACTGATTTCATTGGCTGGACATCATCAGGGACGTCAACCGGTACATTCAGTCATGTGCAGTTTGCCACCGAAACAAAGGGCGCCCTCAGGTCCCGTACGGCGAACTGAAACCATTGCCAATTCCTCGGGAACCAAGTCTCTCCATTGCTATGGATGTGACCGATCCCTTCCCTCGTGATTGCCTTGGCAATGATGGTATTCTCACGATTGTTGACCGTTTGAGCAAGTACGCTCGATTTCTTCCATGCAAGTATCATGCGACGGTTCCCGAGCTTGCACGACTTTTGCATACTGGCTGGTTTTGCAGCCACGACGTTCGAGGAAGACATCGTCAACGACCGCGACACTCGTTTCATGTCAGCCTTTTGGACGACACTCATGGTGGAATCCGACACCAGCATGAAACCGAGTTCCGCACGACATCCTCAAACGGATGGGCAAACGGAACGTGCGCACCAAACCGAACAGATGATGCTCCGCACACTCATCCGTCGGGATCAGAAGGACTGGGTTGACCGCCTTCCCGACATCGAGTTCCCGTACAACACACCCGATGATTGGCGTGACTCCATTCGAGTTGCATCACAGTGGATGGAAAGGACGTATCTTCGCAGACATTTTGCTTCCACGGGCTGCCGATATCAATGTCGCATGCTCCCCCGCTTCTACACGGAAGTACAGGGAACTGCTGGCCAAAGCCCTCACAAACATGCAAAAGGCTCAGTTGCGTATGCAGCAGCAAGCGAACCGGCGTCACATCCCATGTCCAATCCGCATTGGCGACCTGGTTTGGGTCACCTCCGTGGAATTCGCACTCGAGCAGCACGCCTCGTGCAAACTCCTCCCTGAGTGGTTCGGGCCATGGAAGGTCACTTCAGCAGCTCGCGACGACCCCGCAGGTCCATCTTTCATCATCGAGATTCCCGCGCATTTGACGGTCCACCGGATATTTCACGCTTTTAAATTGGCAGTCTACACTCCAGCCTTCGCAGCGGACATCCCGGGCAGATGGTCACACGACCCTCCTTCAATGGATGGTCACCAGGAGGTCGACCGCATTCTCACTCATCGCGAACATGGCAACAAGCCAATGCAGTACAAAGTTACATTTAAGCAATGCGATCCTGACGACACACGCTGGATTTCACGAGCTGACTTGAAGGCGACAACACCCCTCATCTTCGCGCATTACGAAAAACAGCGACTTGCTAAGGAAGCTGCCCAACCTGCCCGGCCCGTACGGACATCGGACAGACAGCTTCGCCCTCGCAATTAGCTCGGTCTTCAAGGGGGGGAGTGTGTGGCATTTTGAGCCACGCGGGCCCCAGTTAGGGTCCGGTTCTAGGTCGGCAGGGTTGGCCTAAGGGAACGACGGTTCAAATGAGGCCCACGTAGGCCAGGGGCACGGCGGTTCAAATGGCCACATGGCCAGTATCGGTCCAGCATAGGACCTACCGGCGGTGCAGTTTCAGAGGCTGCCGCGTTTAGGCGCCAAGTCCAGTTTTGAATCTTTTCCGGCCTGTACGGACATCGGGCAGACAGCTTCGCCCTCGCAGTTAGCTCGGTCTTCAAGGGGGGGAGTGTGTGGGATTTTGAGCCACACGGGGCCCAGTTAGGGCCCGGTTCTAGGTAGGCAGGGTAGGCCTAAGGGGACGACGGTTCAAATGAGGCCCACGTAGGCCAGGGGCACGGCGGTTCAAATGGCCACAAGGCCAGTATCGATCCAACATAGGACCTACCGGCGGCGCAGTTTCAGAGGCTTCCGCGTTTAGGCGCCAAGTCCAGTTTTGAATCTGGACCGTTGAGCAGATCAGCGGTCCAGGCCGGTAGGTACCAGCAGGTAGGAGGCCGGCCCAACACTACAAAAGGCTGGGTACCAGCCTCAGTAGGGAGGTTAGTGAGATAGGACGTTAGTCTTCAGGATTAACCCAACACTGCAGCGTTAGCAGGATTAGCGCAGCGCGTGCAGCGTTAGCTTGAGCAGCGAGGAGAAGGCGAGCGCAGCGGCGAGAAGGAAGCAGCGCAGCGGCCCTCCCGCGCCATAGCTACCGGATCAGGTGCTGGGGAGGAAGGCCTTGCCTTCTCTCCCTCTGTTCCTCCGCCCCTTCTCTCCCTCTCAGTCTCTCTCCCTCTCTCTCTCCTCCTACCTTCTCAGTCTAAGTCTACTCCTGGGTTCGCCTACGAGACTACTACAAGTATGAAGGATGGTTACGAATTTTGGTCACATTGGAGACAACGACATTGGGACTACAGGTTGAGGACTACTAGTGGGATCTGATTTCATCTTCCTCTGGAGATGTACTTGACATTGTGAGATTGATATGTGAGACATGTGAGACACTGTGTTCGTGACATTTCGGATTTTCGCTACCTCTGACATTTCAAGATACTATCTTTGGAAACATTGAGTTGACGCCAGCTTCCCTCTCCTCCTCCCTTCGTCTCTCTCCTCTCTCCCTTCATTCGTGGGTGATCTCAGACCCTGGCCTTTCATCTATGTCCGGGGCAGGGCTTTCACACGTCGGATGTATGATTGAGAGTGTTCGTTTGCAGTCCGAGTCAGGTCATAGTCGGTCCATGTATCTCAAGTCTTCCGCTGTATTTGTATTTACTCTGTATTATCTGGTCGGTTCTGCGAATCTGCGCCATACTTATAATTGTGTTTCACGAGTATGCAACAAAACTGCCTTGGATTTGCAGTTTGACCTCCAGATCCAATGGTGCTCTGCCAAAGGCCTTCCAATCCTTGTGACCTGCAGAAAATAGGGCCTGTACATAAGTTATCGGGGTAGCCGGGACGAACAACTGCAACCTGTCTTGGTTTGATATGGATAACCCAGGTGTAGAGGGTAGAGGGATCCCTGCCACTGTGACTGGCCTATCCTCGCAAGCTTTGCAGCGACTTTCTTGGATCTCTCTAGATCGGCGAAACAGCCCAGTCGACCAGCTGTTTCTTGGCCTTATTCGCCTCAAAAGTAGCCCACCGAAGTGCAGGCCCTCCCAAACGGGCCAAAGTGGGTTGCACCCTGGTAACCTCTGGGCAAGTGATTTCCTTGAGGTACCATCTCATCGAGGCACTCCAATCTGCTACATCCACTTTGGGGTTATCCGCAGTGAATGTTTCAGGTTGGACTGTCTTGGGGTGCCTCGATTTCTGCTGGCCTAGGCCCGCAGTCACTTTAGCCTTAAAAGTCATAGGTCTCCTG